TAATACCAAGGGCTCAAGTAGTTTGAAAATGATAATGGCAACAAATGTACAAATGGGCTTGACACAATGGATGGATGGATGGATTGTGATAAGAATTGTACGAGCCCCTAATAAAATGATTTTTAAAAAAGCCCTGGTCCTGAATGGCCCTGACTGGGGGGACTAGGAATCTGTGTGAAGGCAACTGCAAAGAGTTAGCAAAACTGCTAAGGTTATTTAAGAACAAAGGTATTAAAAGATAATAACTTTCCACTAAAACTTAGGTTACACACAAAAATTTCTAAGCATGCAAATCAATTTAATGCTGAAAATGCCAATAAAATGAACAACTAGAATTAAAAAAAAATCACTCTCGATAAATTATTTATAGACCAATTAGAGAAAGCTATTCTGGTCCTATGGAGCCCTGCTTGTGTCGTGGTTAAGAGTTGGGCTGCAATCTGAATGGTTGGTAATTCAAAACCAACAGCTCCTGGGCTTGCTACTCACGTAAACTGTTACAGTCTTGGAAACCCACAGGGGTCACTATGAGTCAGCACTGACTGGGTGGCAATGAATTTTTGAGTGAGTTATTTTGGTCCTGGTGGCATTGCCAGATACACTGTGGAATAATAACCACAAGGTCAGCAGTTCAAACCCAGAAGTTGGTCTATAGAAGAAAGATGAGACATCTGCTCTTGTAAAGATTTACACATTGCTTCTCGGCCTTTTGGCTAAGATCAAGTGTAGTGAAGATGTGCAGCCTTGGAAAACCCGCATGGGGTGGCTAGGAGTCAGAATCAGCTTGACGGCAGTGCTTTTGGTTGCTGGTCCTACCTAACACTGCTGAGAAGTAAATCTTTAACGGGTCAAACTATTGCCAAAGAACTTCCCTGTGCCCCAGAACACAACTCAAGAACGTTTTTAAGAATACAAAAGTATCCAATAACCAATAAAGGGTTTGCTTCCATTCCAAACAAAGGTGATCCAACAGAGTGTGGAAATGTTCAACCCTCACTATCACACATAAGCACAATTTTGCTGAAGATAATTAAAACCGTTAGAGCAGCACATTATAGGGACCTGCCAAGAATTCAAGCTGGACTCAGAAAGGACACCACGTGAGGACTACCACGACTGACACCAGATGCATGTTGGCTGAAAGCACAGCCCACCTGGAAGACGTTCACCTGTGTCTTACTGCTTTTGAGAAGGGATTTGACTGTGTGGATCACAGCAAATTATGGATAACATGGAAAAGAATGGGAGTTTCAGAACACTATGAGGAGCAACTTTATGCTAATACATTCACTAACTGCGACAAAATGGAAAAATCCTTGAGACATAATTAGAGCCCACAGAAGAAAATAGTTGACTCAAATAGCTTCGTATCTACTAAGACATTTAATTTACAGTTTAACACCTTCCCCCTTTTTTGCTACGCTCTACAATTCATTACAATGGCCACAGAGAACTCGCAGGCCATCTTCGGATAAATAACAGGTTACAATTTCAGTGAGGAATGCTTAGGATACAGTCATCTACTGAGGACATGTTAATAAAAGGGCTGCTTTTAAAAGGGCTTTTTTTTTAAGGGGCAGCTAATAAATGCCCAAAGAGCCTATCACTCCATTGTAAGCCTCAACCCGAAGGCTCCTGGCACCCAGCACCCAGCTCCATGGGTCAGCAAACCAACTGGAAACCACCCCACTCCACAAGCCGGGCTCCTGTCCAAAAGCACTCCAATTCCACTTGTTCAGTGGCCTGGGACGTTCACCACTCTGTCTCATGCGCTGGCTTCTAGTCCTGCTGCTGCCACTCCTCTGGTGTCCCGGCTGTTTCCTAGTTTAGGGAGGTCCTATGTGCAGGGATCTTAAGGTCCTAATGGACGAGCTCTACTCCCAGATCCCAGTAAGATCCCCCTCCCTGCTTCCAAGACGGATCACTCTATACCCACCTCACTGCTGAATCTTACAACACACTCAGTATCTTCCCCACTTTCTTCCCCAGACCCATCACGAAAAGGTGGTTTGGTGGGAGTTACAATAGCCACATTAAATAATCCACTGCCTTGCACTCCTCTTTACATCACTGATCCCTCCCTCATCATTTTAATTCTTCCTTTGAAAAACAAAAACAAAAACTTCACTGCCAGGCTCCTTATAACCACACAACCAGCACTAAAAGCTAGAATTCAGACCTCCCAGTATTCATTTCTCCAGCTGATTCAAACATTCTGTTTCAGGTACTTAATCTTGTTTTACCCCAATATTTCAACTAGACTCCTTAAAGGTGTGGGCGCCGGAAACGGCCAAAGCCAGGGGCTTAGGGGAATATCTGGAAACCAACCTATGTGGGCCCGATGTTTCTTTAATAAGCTCTATCTACTCCATGGTGCATCTGGTATTGGCATAAAAAGGCATTTCTCTCTCTAAATCTCTACATGAAATCAATGTTTTCGGAAGGCATACAGTTATCTGTTCTGTGGAGGCTCTGCATACATCCCAGAATGGGACAAAAAAATGTTTCAATAGACTCTATTTTCTAGAGTAGCTGTAGGTTTGCAAGAAAAATTATAAAGTACACAGAGTCCCCATATACTTCCTCCCCTACCCCCCAATTTCTCCATTAACATCTTGTACTACGAGTATGATATATGTCACAACTGACTTAAAATGGATACATTATTATTAAGTGCATTGTTCTCTGCAGGGTTCACTCAGTGAGTTTTGACAAAATGACTAATGTCACATGTCCATCATTACACGACTAAGGACAATGGTCTCCCTGCCCTGAAAATGTACTGTGCTCCATCTAGTCATCCTTCCCCCACCCACTGAACTTCTGATTATCACTCATCTTGTTTCTGTCTTCTCCCACTC